TGATATTAGTTTTTTTTTTGTTTTTTTTTTTTGGATTTTAAATAAATTTTTCTGGAGTGGTAGATTTTTCTGCATACAAGATTTTCATAAAATCTTTGAAGCTAATATTTTGAAATAATTTTTCTGTAGAGTAATTGGCCATGGTTAAATGTAATTGGCAGAAATGCCCAACAAACATAATTAACAAAGTTTGCAATAAACAATAAAAAAGAAAAGAAAAGAAAAGATCAGGGCAAAAATTAATATGAAGTAAACAATATACTGGAGAAAATGTAGACGACGCAACCGTAATAGGGGAAAAAAAGAAAAGAAAAAAACACAAACTAAGAATGGTGTCAATACAGAAAAGTGGATGCAGACAAGTTATCTCAGCATTCTGACAGAAGAAAGAACAAAAATATGGCGGATGAGATCGAGAAGTGGCCTATCTTATTGGCTAGGAAGAAATCCCAGCATGCATCTGTATGATTCGTCTATAATTTTTTTTTTCAGATTGGAGCCAACATTTAGACTAATGATACAACTCAACTAACTAGGATTGTCGTAGTCTGAGACGAAGAAGATATATTTATTGTTTTCTCGGTGGCAGCTTGCGTAAATGGACGTCAAAACAGGGTTTAGGAGGGATAACATACAAAAATTGCTCAGAGTTACAACGTGCAGGAAATTGTGGCGAGCCATGATCGCCAACGTCCTGACAGGGCGCAGCAAAGAGAAAAAAGATGACAATGCACATTGTAAATTAATTGGCCATGGTTAAATGTCTTTGGGCAAAATTCCCAACAGAATTGACAAATTTTCCAGTGAGCAATAATACAAGAAACAAACGAACATGGCAAAACAATATGAAGCAAACAATATATATGCAAGTCAAAAGTAGACAAATCCAAAGTAAAAAAAAAGTATTTATTCCTACAGGGATTCGGTAACCTAAATGAACGCAAAAAGTTTTTTTTTTTTAAGCATTTCACCCCTAGCAAGGCGAGAAGCCACTAGGACGCAAGGGGTTACAGAAAATATAGAGCGAGATCGCATAGGAGTGACAGAAGAGGGTATGAGGAGAAGGATAGTGGATAGATCAAGGCAACTGGAGATGTCGATTGACATTACATTTGAATAGCTGGAGATTATAGCTCACCGGGAAACTGGAATAGGGAAGGGAGTTCCACAGGCGAGAGGTGCGAGACACGAAGCTATTAGAGTAGAAGAGACGGTTACATTTAAGAGTTTCGACAGTGAAGGGGTGAGAGCGGGATGCCAGCCTCGTAGGGCGCTTGAACTCATGACGTCTGGGAACCAGCGAATGCAGCTCCTCGGTGCAATTGCCATGAAAGTATTTGTAAAAAAAGACAGAGAGAGGCGATGGCGCGTCTGTGAGAAAGTGACTGTAGACGAGCTGCCAGAGCAGGGCTAATTATACTGCATATCCGCCTCTGGAGCCTATCAAGAACCCTGAGGCAAACAGATAGGTTGATAAAGACTAAACATTTCAAGACGGTAACCGAATGTGTAAAAGAATATTTAGCAGCCAGACAGCCACCATCTACTCTTGGCAATCTTCTCCTACCACATTTTCTCCGACACACAAGAAGTGAACAGCACTCTCTCCCCATTCACTTCTTAGATACAAAAAATTATACACATACATATGGTGAGAAAAGAACACTATAAATATTCGATAATATATTTTCAGGATTAGCATACATGGCTATTGATTGACTTGATTGCTTTTCCTTTTTTATGTCTTATCAACCTCTTTCGGGTTATTTAAAAACAAAAAGAAAACATTGTTTTGGAATGGTTTGGTTTGGTTTTGTTTTAACATTGTTTTGGAATTGTTTTTTGGTTTGGTTTGTTTTCTTTGTTTTGCATATCAACCTCAATGGATCATTTAATGCCAACATTGTTTTAGAATGGTTTGATTTGGTTTGGTTCGTTTTGCATATCATGGGTCATTTAATGCGTCAACATTGTTTTTTAGAATGGTTTGATTTGTTTGGTTCGTCTTATGGCATATCAACCACAGTGGGTCATTTAATGCCAACATTGTTTTAGAATGGTTTGATTTGGTTTTTCGTCTTATTTCAACCACAGTGGGTCATTTAATGCCAACATTGTTTTAGAATGGTTTGATTTGGTTTGGTTCGTCTTATGGCATATCAACATGGGTTTTAATGCCAACATTGTTTTAGAATGGTTTGATTTGGTTTGGTTCGTCTTATGGCATATCAACCACAGTGGGTCATTTAATCAACCAACATTGTTTTAGAATGGTTTGATTTGGTTTGGTTCGTCTTATGGCATATCAACCACAGTGGGTCATTTAATGCCAACATTGTTTTAGAATGGTTTGATTTGGTTTGGTTCGTCTTATGGCATATCAACCACAGTGGGTCATTTAATGCCAACATTGTTTTAGAATGGTTTGATTTGGTTTGGTTCGTCTTATGGCATATCAACCACAGTGGGTCATTTAATGCCAACATTGTTTTAGAATGGTTTGATTTGGTTTGGTTCGTCTTATGGCATATCAACCACAGTGGGTCATTTAATGCCAACATTGTTTTAGAATGGTTTGATTTGGTTTGGTTCGTCTTATGGCATATCAACCACAGTGGGTCATTTAATGCCAACATTGTTTTTAGAATGGTTTGATTTGGTTTGGTTCGTCTTATGGCATATCAACCACAGTGGGTCATTTAATGCCAACATTGTTTTAGAATGGTTTGATTTGGTTTGGTTCGTCTTATGGCATATCAACCACAGTGGGTCATTTAATGCCAACATTGTTTTAGAATGGTTTGATTTGGTTTGGTTCGTCTTATGGCATATCAACCACAGTGGGTCATTTAATGCCAACATTGTTTTGGAATGGTTTGGTTTGTTTTACAGCATACCAACCTCAATGGGCTATTTAATTGCGATAAAACTGTTATTGGTAATATTTCTTTTTAAAAATCTATTTCTGGTAAATTTTGTTTCTTCGAAAATCTATTTTGTGGGAACAATTTTCCTTCAGATATGTATAGCTGGTTATATTTTTTTCAAAAATGTATTGCTGCTAATATTTGTTTTTCAAAAAAGTTTTGCTCGTAATATTTGTTTTTTTAAAAATGTTTGGCTGGTATTAAAACCTATTTTCACACGTTTTGACTCCAGATTGGAGGGCGTTAATATTTGCCCATATTTGGGACCCTGACAGGTGTTACCACCCCGGGTCAGGGTAGACCTGGGAACACCAGCAATTAAGAGGTGGTTTCACGCCCCTCAAAACCTCCTGATCAGAGGCCTGGTTGTTGGATGTAGTTTATCGTCTTACCCAGGATGCGGATGTAGTATATCGTCTTACCCAGGAGGCCACGATGTGGGCAGCTCTGTCTCTCTACTTGTACTGGTTGTATGTGAATACGACAACTTGATTTACAGTACTGAATGACAACAGATTCACATTGTCGAATATTTAAAAATCTTTTGAGAAAATTAATCAATTTGACTTTTTTTTATCGAGAGGAGGAGGCTCATTTCTTCTGCCGGCCACCTGTATATAAACTTTTGCTGTTGGAACTTCAATCGATAACTTTTGTTTTAAACCCTATTCACCTATTTGAAAAGTCACTTTCTCAGCGAAACAAAACTCTACGTGTTACTTTCAACTCTATTCATTATTTGATCAGTTTCTTTCATTCAAAAAGAATATTTTCCTTTCAACCTTTTCAACACATTTGCGTGTAGTTTCCTTGGCATGAAAGGAAATCGCTTCATGTTGCTTGTTTTTATATGCAAGCTGAATTCACTGATTTATTTTAGTCAAAATTTTCAGTATTTGTTTTCCTCATTATTTCATTACCAATTTTGCAGATGATAACGTTGTATTCCTGTTTATATATATATATATATATATATAAAAAATCTATGAATGATGTTTGCTGAGAGCTGTCTCTGTTAAAGCCCAATTTCAGTTAAAAGATTACACCAACCTCCAACAGTTTACAAAGTTAAGCCATAGGTGATGATTAACACTTTAATGACCCGACCTATATTTTCTTCCAGGTTAGTTGCATAAAATTGCCATGTTTGTCCTCAATACGTATTTATTGTTTCACGGGAGAACTGATGGAAGTTCGGGTGCAGCGCAGTATAATTTAATTACTCACTTTTGACAAACATTTTTGAGCATGACTATTATACACGAGAAACAAATATTAAATTCTTTAATGAGCTATGATCTAAATTCTAGCTATAATCTAGCTATGAGCCTCGCCATATTTTCGACGGTATGACCAAACGAATATGGCGATATCTAACTTAGAGGCGACATCCCTAATATGGTCCGATGTTCTGAATGTTTGGTGAAGGAGAGGAATATTCTGAATATGTCGACCTCAGGAATAAAATTTTATGAATAAATCGACGTCTGGAATATGTCGACATCAGAAATATGTTGATGTTATGAATATGGCGACGTCTCAAATATGTCGATATCAGGAATATGGTGATGTTATGAATATGGCGACGTCTCGAATATGTCGACATCAGGAATATGGTCTGTTATGAATATGGCGACGTCTCGAATATGTCGACATCAGGAATATGGTGATATTATGAATATGGCGACGTCTGTTTAGATATGTCGATATCAGGAATATGGTGATGTTTGATCTATGGCGACGTCTTTAATATGGCGATGATTAGAATACCACGACTTCCACATATTTCCTGTGTTCCTTTATCGCGACATCCATAATATGGTGATGTTCTGAATGTGGTGAAGGCGGTAATATTCTGAATATGTCGACCTCAGGAATATGGAAATTTTATGAATATGGCGACGTCTGGAATATGTCGACATCAGAAATATGGTGATGTTATGAATATGGCGACGTCTCAAATATGTCGATATCAGGAATATGGTGATGTTATGAATATGGCGACGTCTCGAATATGTCGACATCAGTAAATGGTGATATTATGAATATGGCGACGTCTCGAATATGTCGATATCAGGAATATGGTGATGTTATGAATATGGCGACGTCTTTTAATATGGAATGTGTCGATGTCGACATCATGTTCCGAATATGGCGACATCCCCATAAGAATGGTGATGTTCTGAATGTGGTGAAGGCGGTAAAAATATCCGACCTCAGGAATATACTAATTTTATGAATATGGCGATGTCTGGAATATGTCGACATCAGAAATATGGTGATGTTATGAATATGGGGACGTCTCGAATATGTCGACATCAGAAATATGGTGATGTTATGAATATGGCGACGTCTCGAATATGTTGACATCAGGAATATGGTGATGTTATGAATATGGCGACGTCTCGAATATGTTGACATCAGGAATATGGTGATGTTATGAATATGGCGACGTCTCGAATATGTCGATATCAGGAATATGGTGATGTTATGAATATGGCGACGTCTTTAATATGGCGAATGTGGCGATGATTAGAATACCACGACTTCGCATATTTGGCCATGTTCCGAATATGGCGACATCCCTAATATGGAAAAACATATGGAAACACGTTCCAAATTTATCAATATGTAACAAAGAATTTAAATGATTATCCAAACAATGTATTTCTTACAACCACATTTAACTGCTCCACTGCTGTACGTCATAGACATACTGATGTGATAGACGCCATGACAGTTTAGTAGGTGTTGTTGAGGTTGTATATCTTTATTTGTTAACAATGTCGCCGTCATCGTTTAAAGTATAATTTATAATTCTTTCTCAAAAAGGATGTCATCTTCACTGTCTTGCAATACGTTGGTGCTGCTGCAGTTCTCAGAATAACTTCGCCACTCTTTCAAAATCTTTATAGATAGAACAGAAAGATCTGGTCAATGAATAATTCTCTGTTTCTCTGTTAGCTTCCTCACAACCTCGCTGACACGAAATTTTAGGGCAAATATTTTTTTTCTGTGAAGTAACATGATGAGGTCTGGTCCCTCCTCCCCCAATAATAAATTTTGAAAGAAATATTAAAATAAACCCTTTTAAACTCGACCATGTCTCTTCCACCACTCCTCGCTCCCCTCTCTGTTAAATTACATAAACTTAATACTATCCGTCAAAAGTGTGAATTTTTATTTCATTTTTCGTTTAATTTTTAGAAGTGTCATCAGATGATCCAGCGTCCCTTAAAAGGGCTCTGGTGAAATAAATTATTATAATGGAATCTTAAAGTGGTTTGTTTTTTTCTTTAAATTATTAGCATTGAGCTCTCAGGATTTCATCCTCCTTGGGACTACCCATACGGATTAACAAGTTTTTCATAACTTATATATATATATCTATATCTATATATCCATGTGACGACGGCGTGACCATGTTAGACGGAAGGCTGATCATTTTAAAAATTTTCAGTTATCTGTTTTGGATAAGACTTGTGTTTTTATGTCCATCAAATACGATGGACATAAAAACACAAGTCTTATCCATATTGAACTGAATTGTATTTTAATGAATATTGTCTTGAAAAAGGTTTATTAAACCGAAACGTCAGACGTCGACATTTCATTCATTTTTGACAACATATAATTGCATTTAAGGATTTTGGTTTGTTTTTTTTTCCAAATTTTTCTTCATTCTGTCGGATCTATATCCATTTACATTTGCTTACATATATATATATATATATATATATATATATATATATATATATTATATATATATATATATATATAACTATACATTTTGGCAGGTTATTCTCTTTTAGGCATGTCTGATTGAATAAATTACAGATATTCTGTCTGCTAATTTTTAATAAAATCCAAAAGAAAGAAAGAAAGAAAGAAAGAAAAACGAACGAAAGACAGATACAACCGAAGGAATAAAAAAACGAAAGGAAGATAGAACGGAAGAAAGAAAAAGCGAAAGGAAGAAAGGAAGGAATATAGAAAGAAAGAAAGAAAGAAAGAAAGAAAGAAAGAAAGAAAGAAAGAAATGAAAAAGGAAGTAAGAATGAAAGGAAGAACGAACGAAAGAAAAATAGAATGAAAGGAAGGAAGAAAGAACGAAAGAACGAAAGAAAGAAAGAACGAAAGAAAGATAAAAGGAAAGGCTTGGGATATAGTGATTCTGTTAGGAAAGGTGATATTAGGAATCACTACACTCCCAAGACAACAGAAATCAAAAGAAACCGTTTGAATCCGTCAATACAAAAAATATGTGAAAATATCCCCTTCAAACATGAAATCTAATTGACGTAATTTTTCAGTTGACTAAATGAATATACAATAGGGTTTCTAAATTCTTCTAGTTGCTAACAACATTTTTTTTATGTTTATATATACTTTGTTTCAATAAATTCATTTCGTTTTTGACTTGAAAAAGTCCACAAAAGATGATACTCGTCGACTAAAACTACAGAGTTTTTATATTGTCTTTTATCCGTTATAAATACTGTCATTTTCTACAAGTTAATTCTGAGAATATATATATATATATATATATATATATATATATATATATATGTGTGTGTGTGTGTGTGTGTGTGTGTGTGTGTGTGTGTGTGTGTGTGTGATTTTAGGGAGCAAATTCTCTTTTAGACATGTCTTTTAGACATGTTTGAATAAATTACAGACATTATGTCTGCTAATTTTTAACAAAAATCCATTCATACTCACGAATAATCTTCCGTTAAAGGAGGAGAGAAATGTGCTATAGCTGCTTAACTTTCTTTTATTTTCATTTCCCAAGTACTTTCGATCTTCTTCCAAGATCATCTTCAGAGGTGCAAGTAGTACAAAACTATATGTTGTTCATTAGTATAAGTATTTATATAAAGATGTGCATTTTACATTATGGTTTTAAATGCAAAACGGTTGATAATTGTAACCAGACGCATGCTAACTACAAACAGGATGAAAAATCATAAAGAATCTCATTTATACTAACATATCTTTCATGGATTCAAATAAAAATAAAATTAATTATATATTATAAAAAAAAAAATACAATACAATAAATAATAACTCCTCCCCACTAACTGATGTATTACGTAAAAGCAACATTATATACCAATTTAAATGTCCCTTGGGAGAATGTATCTCCGACATAAAAACAAATATATATGTTGGGTATACGACAAATACACTAACAAGAAGGCTTACATTACACATGTCTGGCTATTTGTCCATTGAATGACATCTCCAACAACATTGCTATTCACATTCTCAATATAAAAAATTACTAATCGACAACACAACAGATTTAAATTACATATACTGGAAACAATTTATATTAAAAAATTAAAGCCGGCATTGAATAGAATCAACTATGAATACTGCAGTAATGTTCTGAAATGCCTGTAAAAGAACAGTATTTTTTTCACGCATTAATGCGCGCGTGACCATGACATTATAACTTAGAGTAAAAAAAATTCTATAATGGATAATTTTTATTTAATTTGAATGAACGCTCACCATATTTTCAACCGTTTTGCATTTAAACTACTAATACTAATGAATAACATATAGTTTTGTACCACTTTCCCCTCTGAAGATGGTCTTGGAAGAAGATCGAAAATACTTGGGAAATTAAAAGAAAAGAAATTTAAACATCCCTTCTCTTATCCTTTTACATCAATACACTGAAAGTTATTCGTGAGTATGAAGGGATTTTTTAAAAAATGTTATATATATATATATATATATATATATATATATATATATATATTGAAGTTTTGAATATCAAAGATAGATCGTATGTAAATATAAATATAAAAGTGAACATTAAAGTCAACCCTCAGAGGCGACTGCCTGTTTCATGCTGGACGCAATCATCAGGCCGAGAGTGTTATATTTTTTCTCGACTATTTATATATATGGATCAGTGGTACATTGTGGGTAATCCATTCTGGTGGTTATTATTGCAAGAGTGGCTTGTTTATTTATTTATTTGGGTTAATTTATTTTACTTATTTTTTATTTTCATTATTTATTTTATGTATTTATTTATTCTTTTTGGTTTTCGATGTTTTATTAAAGTAGTAAAAAAATTGCGGGATTTGTTTAGGTCGCTTATTCAATAGTTTGTTTTGGACTGGGAAGATAATTAAAGCTATTTATTCGTTCAATTTTTGGATTGATTGCCGTAGTCTATTTTGCTATTTTGGCGGGGTACTTTTTAATTTGTTTATTATTTTATTTATTTATTTGGATTGATTATTCTTACTTGTTTTTGTTTATTTATGTTTATTTTTATTAGTTCTAACGGTTATTTTAGCGGGAGCGATTTGTGAATTTGTCCATTTATTTATTTGGATTAATTTTTATTTATTTTTTCTTATTTATTTTCTTATTTTTTTATTTAGTATAGTTTAAATCCATTCGGTTTTCGATTTTTTTGTAACGTAGTAATATTTTATATTTATATAGCAGTTATAACTGTTTTCTCGTCCAATTTTTAGATTGATTGTTGTAGTCTGTTCTAAAGGCTATTAAGGTTTATTAATTTGTTTATTGTTTGCTTTATTTATTTGGATTTATTATTTTTACTTGTATTTTATGTATTTATTTTTTTGTTTTTATTTGTTCTCTTTCGCCTATTCTAACAGGAGTGGTTTGTTAATTTGTTCATTATTATTTGCTTGGGTTAATTTATTTTACTTATTTTTTTATATCATTTTGTTTATTTTTATTTATTCTTTTCAGTTTTCGATTTTTAAGTAACGTAGTAAAAGTTTGTTGTCATGTCTGCATTTTGAGATGAGCTCAGATCGTTTATTTAGTAATTTATTTCGGTCTGGGAAAGTAATAATAGCTATTTTTCCTCCTTGCAAAATTTGAAGTTTTTGGATTGATTGTTGTAGGCTGATGATCTTTTCCTTATTTTCCTTGATATTTTTGGTGTGATTTGCGTTTTGTTTTTAATTTTCCAGATATAGTTAGAAAACATTGTGCTGTTCGCGTATTTGCTATTTGTGAAAGATGTTTTGTGCAAAAGAAAAGAGATGAAATAAAGAAAGAAGAAAAAAAAGAAATAGAAAGACAAGATAAAATAAAAGAGGAAATAAAAAGAAAAATACAAGGTAATAAAGAGAGAGGAAAAAGAAGAATAAACAAAAAAAGAAGAAATAAAATAAAAGTAGAGGAAAACAAAAAGGAAGCAACAAGGAAAGAGCAAAACGAAGAAACGTAAAGAAAGAAAAAAACATGATGAAATATAAAGAAACAGAAAGTAAATAAGGGAAGAAAGACAGGAACAAATAATGATAGGATATTAAAGGAAAGAAAGAAAGAAATATCCTTGTAAAAAAAAATGAATAACTTAAAACTGAAAGTGAAACTGAAAGTGAAACTGAAAGGGAAAATGAAAGTGAAAGTGAAGGTGAAAATGAAAGTGAAAATAGACATCAAGTAGATGAATAAATTAAATAAATAAGATAAAGAAAAAGTGTAATAATCTAAAACCATGTTTCCCATATGCAGGGAAAAGTAATAAAAAAAATAAAGAAAGAAAAAGTAAAAAGAAATTATAATTTTTATTTCTTTCTCCAGACTTAATTTAGTGAATTTCGGTTAACGTGCAAGGGCGTTAGATTGAAACATCAATCTGGGGCCAACGGCAAATGAATCGACAGGTCCCCGATATTTATTTACCTGTCCCAGCATTTGACAAGTATGCAAATTTAAAGTTGACGTTTGCTTTACAATTGGCAGGTCGAACGAGCAACGGCCAACCAAGAATGGAAGAAGGAGCAATGGCAGCTAATGTCCTCTTCATATCCGTCCGCATTCACTGCGCATGCTTTGACAAATTGCGCGGGAAATGTTTCCCGCCGTCAGCAAGTCGCGTCGGTAAGTATTCGCTTGACGCGAAAATGTCTTCCAAGCTGATAACTTTTATTACTTCCGGTACAGTGAGGCCTGACAATTTCATTTGTATGTGTGCATGTGTGTGTGGGGGGTGAGGGTGATAGGGGTGCAACTGTAGGAAAATAATAATGATGGTAGCATAAGTTGAGCAAGGAAGAAGATGATGAAAAAAAATGAATGAATTAAAGGTGACTAAAACACGGAAACACATGTCTCCTTAACCAGAGATGCACCTACTTACAGGCGCATGCGCACAAGCTCGCGTTTACAAACTGCTAACCAAAATATTCATAAAATATAAATTATAATGCTGCTAGATTCCACAGTACCTCGCTAAATATTTCATCTCCCAAATACCAAGTAATTATTCCCGCAGAAATGTGAAAAAAAAAAACAACATATTTGGCATCCATATTATATTCTTAGACCGAAGAAGCAATACCATATGTTCCTTGATATTGAGGATGAAGAATAACGTAATGATTATAAGCACGAAAAAAGAATCAAAGAGCTTCATCCACCGAATTCATAATAACATTGCCTCGTAAAACACAGCATCTTGCGGAACGAAATGCCGACTTGACAAGATACTGCGTTTGCCAACTACTGTCTGTTGTCTTGCCTCAGATTTTGTTGGCATGAGGCATTTTACAAAGACCCGGATCTTGACCAGTTGCAGAGAGGCCTGTATCTAGACATGCCAAACTGTCCCGCTGCTAACGGGAAAAATCGGATATAACTGGTGTTAACAAACATGTCCGCATGCGATCCGAGGCCTTTTTTTCCGTCAGTACTGACGCACGTTCGCCACATAAAGCCAGAACTGGTTGCCTATCTCAAAATCTCCTCTTTGCACGTCGTATTTTAAACATCGCTTTCGATTTTTGTAAACCAGACTAGAATTGATATTAAACAGAACTTAATGTAAATAGAGATTATAATTTTGAAGCAGACGACATTAATAAAAAAATGGAGTATTTTTCTGATGCCATTATGACCGTAGCTGAGGTACCTATCCTGACGAAAAACTCATCATAGGATGTCCAATTTAATGCTTAGCATCGATGTTATCAGGTTGTTCGGGAAATAATATTCGATTTTATAATAAAGCTTTTGTTTTATTAATATATAATTCTAATAGTTGTATAAAACATATTATTGATTCTAAATAATAAAAGTGTCCACTATGTTAATTGTATATCAAACTCTTTTCGAAATATGCTTTCAAATAAGCGATACACCTTGTGGATACACTGGAAAATAGTGTTAGGTTGTTGGGGAAATAATGGCCGATTTTAGAAAAAATTTTTTTTTGATTCTAATATATCTTTATAATAGTTTCTCAAAAATATATTACACATCCCCAATGATTAATGTGACCACTTTGTCTCAGCCAGAAATCTGTTCTCAAATTTCTGACCCCCCCCTGTGTATACACTGGAAAATAGTATTAGGTTGTTTGGGGGAAACAATGGCCGATTTTAGAATAAACCTTTTGGGTTCTAATATAACATTATAATAGTTTCACAAAAATATCTTACTCATCCCCAATGATTAATGTGACGACTTAGTCTCCGTCAGAAATCTGTTCTCAAATTCCTGACGCACCCCCCTGTGTATACACTGGGAAATAGTATCAGGTTGTTGGTGGGGGGGAAACAATGGCCGATTTTAGAATAAACCTTTTGGGTTCTAATATAACATTATAATAGTTTCACAAAAATATATTACTCATCCCCAAGGATTAATGCGACCACTTTGTCTCCGTCAGAAATCTGTTCTCAAATTCCTGACGCACCCCCCCCGTGTATACACTGGAAAATAGTATTAGGTTGTTGCGGGGAAACAATGGCCGATTTTAGAATAAACCTTTTGGGTTCTAATATAACATTATAATAGTTTCACAAAAATATATTACTCATCCCCAATGATTAATGTGACCACTTTGTCTCCGTCAGAAATCTGTTCTCAAATTCCTGACGCACCCCCCTGTGCATACACTGGGAAATAGTATCAGGTTGTTGGTGGGGGGGAAACAATGGCCGATTTTAGAATAAACCTTTTGGGTTCTAATATAACATTATAATAGTTTCCACATGGTTCAAAAACATTATAATAGTTTCCACAAAAATATATTACTCATCCCAATGTTCAATGCGACCACTTTGTCTCCGTCAGAAATCTGTTCTCAAATTCCTGACGCACCCCTCCCCCGTGTATACACTGGAAAATAGTATTAGGTTGTTGCGGGGATTTTAACAAACCTTTGGGTTCGATTTTATAATAGTTTGGCCAATAAACCTTTTGGGTCCCGTAATATAACATTATAATAGTTTCACAAAAATATATTACTCATCCCCAATGATTAATGTGACCACTTTGTCTCCGTCAGAAATCTGTTCTCAAATTCCTGACGCACCCCTCCCCCCCCCGTGTATACACTGGAAAATAGTATTAGGTTGTTGCGGGGAAACAATGGCCGATTTTAGAATAAACCTTTTGGGTTCTAATATAACATTATAATCGTTTCACAAAAATATATTACTCATCCCCAATGATTAATGTGACCACTTTGTCTCCGTCAGAAATCTGTTCTCAAATTCCTGACGGCCCCCTGATGTATACACTGGGAAATAGTATCAGGTTGTTGGTGGGGATTTTTAGAATAAACCTGGTGGCCAAACAATGGCCGATTTTAGAATAAACCTTTTGGGTTCTAATATAACATTATAATAGTTTCACAAAAATATATTACTCATCCCCAATGATTAATGTGACCACTTTGTCTCCGTCAGAAATCTGTTCTCAAATTCCTGACGCCCCCCCCCTGTGTATACACTGGGAAATAGTATCAGGTTGTTGGTGGGGGGGAAACAATGGCCGATTTTAGAATAAACCTTTTGGGTTCTAATATAACATTATAATAGTTTCACAAAAATATATTACTCATCCGTAAGAATTAATGTAACCGCTTTGTTAATATTACATCAAACTCTTTCAGAATATAACTAAAACCATTTTATACAACTCATCTTGAACATGAAAAAAAGAAGAGATGCGTTTCCCTTTTTTTTATGTTTGGTCGAACTGCTGCTAACATTAACAGAGAATAGCTGAAGGATCCACTTGTGATCGGAGAATGCAGGTTTCCGAAGATCCACGCTAGGGACACGGGTCTTGGATAAGCAATACCAAAAAATCCTCCTCCTCCTCCTCTTCATCATCATCATTCGACCGTAGTTGGTATCAACGAGCCAATGGAAATGATCCTTTCTTTAGATGTACATTGTTTCGGGAGGGGGAAAAAGAGGATTCGTATATCAACGAGCCAATGCATATGATCCTTTCTTTAGATGTACAGTATGTGCTAGGTCAGGTCTACATATAGTTTTGAATTCAGAGTTAATTTCAACTAGATGGCTTGTCACCCAAAGCTCTAGAACCCAGTCTGCCCTGTTATTATACACATTGTTTGGGGTTGGGGAAGAAGAGGATTCGTATATCAACGATCCAATGCATATGATCCTTTCTTTAGATGTACAGTATGTGCTAGGTCAGGTCTACATATAGTTTTGAATTCAGAGTTAATTTCAACTAGATGGCTTGTCACCCAAAGCTCTAGAACCCAGTCTGCCCTGTTATTATACACATTGTTTGGGGTGGGGGAAGAAGAGGATGTGTATATCAACGAGCCAATGCAAAATGATCCTTTCTTTAGCTGTACAGTATGTGTTAGGCCAGGGATGCATATAGTTTTGAATTCAGAGTTAATTTCAACTAGATGGCTTGTCACCCAAAGCTCTAGAACCCAGTCTACCCTGTTATTATACACATTGTTTGGGGTGGGGGAAGAAGAGGATGTGTATATCAACGAGCCAATGCAAAATGATCCTTTCTTTAGCTGTACAGTATGTGTTAGGCCAGGGATGCATATAGTTTTGAATTCAGAGTTAATTTCAACTAGATGGCTTGTCACCCAAAGCTCTAGAACCCAATCTGCCCTGTTATTATACACATTGTTTGGGGTGGGGGAAGAAGAGGATGTGTATATCAACGAGCCAATGCAAAATGATCCTTTCTTTAGTTGTACAGTATGTGTTAGGCCAGGGATGCATATAGTTTTGAATTTAGAGTTAATTTCAACTAGATATGTTGTCATCCAAAGCTCTAGAACCCAGTCTGCCCTGCTATTATACACATTGCTTGAGGCGGGGTAAGAAGTGGGTTCATATATTTCCCACGTAAGTGAATGTAATGGATCCAGTGCCTCTGAAAATACTTGACGGACAAAACGCGCGCAGTTTCACCTGATTTAAAGAAATGATTTAATAATCTGATTTTTGAACGCTAAAAGATCCAAAGACTCACGTAAGAAAATTAACTTTAATAACTTCCGAATTTTTTTTCCATACGATTTTCTTTTTACACTAGGAACTTTATTTTAAATTGCCATTATTTGTCACACAAATTTAATTTCATATTGTTCTTCATTATATTATTTTGATAACAACAAATATATTAATGATGAAATTCAATTTTTTTACGAGTAATTTTACGTATTTCATTCTAAATGCATTTACAGCTGTCGATATCTATCAAAGAGATGAAATTTAAATTTTTATTATTGCATTATTCCAAAATTTCAACACATCAGCAGATAGCTATTAATGTCAACAACTGAGTACAGATAGTTATTAATTAAAATAATTAGCAATTAACATATAATATTATCCATGATTACATATACAAAAATGTTGTTTTTGATAAAAGTTAAAAAAATAACCTCGTCCTGGGTAAGACGTTGAACTACATCCGCATCCTGGGTAAGACGTTAAACTACGTCCAGCAGCAAGGCATCTGATCAGGAGGTTTTGAGGAACGTGGAAACAACTCTTAATTGCTGGTGTTTCCAGGTCCACACTGACCCAGGATGGTAGCACCTGTTAGGGTCCCAGCTATGGGAATATAGTTAGCTATTACCAGCAATACTTTTTTGAAAACAAAGTTATAACCAGCAATACAATTTTGAAGGAAATATATTACCAGAAACAGATTTTTGACAAAACAAAATATTACCAGCAATAAAGAAATTTTTGTCAGCATTAAATAACCCATTGAGGTTTGTATGCCGTAAAACAAAATAAACCAAACCAAAACAAAAATTAACCATAAATTAAAAAATAAGTATATTGTCGAAAATTTTTTTTTCCATTTTTCTATTTATGCTATGTTATAATGTTTATTACCTAAACAATTATAATACTGAATATTTTTTAAGCATTAAAATATATCTAATCACATCTCCTTTAATAGCTGTCGCAATCTGTTAAAACAAAAAAAAGAATGTGGAATATTAGTTTTTTTTTCAACTTTTCTTTAAAGATAAATATTGACCTTTTCATCTCATTGGATTCTCTCTATGAATGACTATATATATATATATATATATATATATATATATATATATATATATATATATATATGTATGCGAATGTCAGTGTGTCACACTTTTTCAACTTTCCTCCTAGAGGCTGTAGCCCAACATATCATACCATTTTGGAATCAGGTTGACTCTGTGAGCAAATTAAAACCATTCCATGTCGGATTCAGACCCGCAATCCTGAAATTTTGGATTCCCAACTTTTCATTACTGCGATTGTTTTCGGCGAATTTTTACGTGATTTTTTTGCGACGAATTTCTTTTTTTTATACGATATTAAATTTGTAAATAATTGAAATTAACTGCGAAATCCAGCGAAATCGCCCATGAAGTAAAAATAATTGTTTGTACGGAAATTGAAAACCTACGTACATACATAAAATTGTCTTTAAATTAAGTGGAAGGCAGAAGAAATATCGTTGAATCTTTATGAGGGATGCTTAAATATTAATGCAATACTTAAATGCAGCAATCAATTGTGAGTTCATCTGAAGTTCATTGTTGCCTATCGCATACGACAGGAGTATGCCTCGCAAGAAAGAAATCTCCGCCAACAGAGGACAAGACTGCAATCAAAAGAGTCAAGGCCGCAGCGGGGTAAAGAAAATCCCGTGCAAATTAAACGCAGATCAAACAGCAACTAGGAGAGCTTCCAATGCTGAGAATATGCGAAGTCTTAGGAAAACTCAACAAGGCAAAGGCCCAAAGAAGAGCACCCCACAGGAGCTAGATAAGGGAATTTTGAGGTAATATATATATATATATATATATATATATATATATATATATATATATATATATATATATATATATATATTCACCACTTTAATCAAATCACTTGTGTGGGTTTTCTGGCGGTTTACCTTGATTCGTTCTTATCCACGAACTTGTCAGCTGTTAATATACCACATAACACCCTTAGCTTTGGAGCGGGTAGAATGGACATCAACGTGTTTTAGTGGACTCGGCAATTTTCAATCTGCTTGTCTGAATCATCTTCAAGAAGCGAGAGCAAGATCTAAAAGGTCAATCAATCTAACAGTGATCTAATCTCACAATCCTCACACTTGCTCCATATGTGGCCTCCTTTGTAAATCACTAGCGGATCTTAAATGCCACTAAGATTAGCGCATAAACTTTCATAACTGAATCAATAAGCTGTCAGATGCTCATACGTCAGAAACCGACAGGAGAGTCCATTATATATATATATATATATATATATATATATATATATATATATATATATATATATATATATATATATATATATATATATATATATATATATATATATATATATATATATATATATATATAGGAGAGAGAGAGAGGGAGTGAGAGGAACCAATAAAATGAAGTTATATATACATATATATATAGTTAAGTTATGAAAAACTTGGTAATCCGTATTTTTTTAGACATCTAAATTACTATCAAATATTAAAATCTTTTTTTTTTACATGAATTGCTAAAACTTACCACTCATCTCCTTCATATGTAAAAACCCATTTACAGCCTCTTTCTCTTTACTTCCCCCTTCTTAATTTTTACTTTTTCTTTTTTCTTTTCTCTCTTCTCCCCTTCCATTTCATTATATCACTTCCGTTAAGTTAACCGTCTAAATAGGTCAAGGTCTGGTCACTCCTCCTCCCCCAATACTAAGTATGATTGAAAGAAAAATATTAAATTAAACCCTCCCTAAACTCTACCATGTCCCTCTAACTACTAATTACTACACTCTCTGTTAAATTACACTACCCATCAATTTTCATTTCATATTTCGTTTCATCTTTTGGAAGTGCTATCTAATGATCCGGCGTCCTATAAAAAGCTCTGCTGAAATAAATTGGAACCTTAAAGTGGTCTGTTTTTCTTTGATATATATATATATATATATATATATATATATATATATATATATATATATATATATCTTCTTTTATTAATTCGAAATATTTTGTTATTTCAACCTTATCTTTTATTGGATACCCATATCATTAAACTATATTTATTTATCTTCGTCTAATAAAAAAAAATTTTATTTTTAAGAAACAAATTAAAATAATGTTTATGTAATATATATATATATATATATATATATATATATATATATATATATATATATATATATATTTATTGTTATTCACACGTTATTCTTAGCGGATGCTCGTATTTGAGTAGAAGCTACGTATATTTATTTAATCAGTATATTTATTTATTAGACGAAATAACAAATGAAGTGGAACATTTATGGGGATAATTTTCTTGTATAGATGTGTGCACATATAATTAAACACTGCTAAATAATATCTATCTATCTATCTATCTATCTATCTATCTATCTATCTATCTATCTATCTATCTATCTATCTATCTCCTCATTTTTCCCGCTATATGAATATATGAATCTATTTTTAGATCAATGTAAATTTTATTTATTAGAATTTTAATCAGAGAAAAGACGATTGGATTTAAAATGTTCTAAAGATAATGTGTTTAAATATACCACTGTTTTTCTGATGCAAAATGTCTGACTTGTCTGACAGATGCTGACTGACATGGAATCACACCTTCGTGAAGAGCAATTGATCTTTTGAAAAGAAAAAAAGTAAAATGAAGAAAAGAGAATGAAGAAAAAAAAGAAGATTTGGAGAAAAATTGAAAGAACAAATGAAAAGGAGTAAAATCCACCCACCTAAAAAAAAAAAAAAAAAAAAAAACGAAAGTAAGAAAGGAAGCGGAAATATGAAAAGAAAAAAATACTCTAAGAAAGATAAAAAATGAAAAAAAACCTGAAGAGAAGAAAATGGAGGAAATAGATGAGAAAATAAAAGAAAAATGAAAAGAAGAAAAAAACGGAATAAAAAAATGAAGAGAAAATATAAAAAGAAAAAAGAAAAAATAGAAGATAGAAAAGATAAAAATAAAAATGTGAAATGAACAAAATGAAGAAAAAAGAAAATAAGAAAATGAATGAAATATGAAAAGAAGAAGATAAAAGAAATGGAAGTAAAAAGAAAAGCGACAACATAAAAAGAAAAAAAAAGAAAAATAAGATAGGAAAGAAAAAAAGAAAAAAGTGAAGAAGATGAAGAAAATAGGTGAGAAAGTAAAACGAAAAGAAGGAAAACAAAATAGAAAATATGAAAAGAAAAATGAAGAAAAGCAGATAGGAAAGATAAAAATAAAAAAAAAAAGTAAAGAGAAGGCAAATCAAACGACGAAAAGAATGAAGAAAGTAAAGAGGAGGACACAGTGAAGAAGGAAAGAAAGAAAAAGAGAAAAACTCCGACGAAAATGAAGTAAAATAAGAAAGATGAGAAAATAACAGCAAATAAAAATTTCCAATAAAACAAAGAAAAAAATCGGAGAAATCTCCAACGGAGCCGTTTTCAAATCGGCAGCCATTTTGAAATCGAATGCAATAAAAACACCAAAAACGTTGTTTATGGCGGCCAAAAAGAAATTGAAAGAAAAGAATCAAGAACAACCGTTAGAGATGACGGTTAGAGAAGGTCATGTCGGAAAGAACGCTGAATTTACACCGAATACTTAAGGCTGGACAGAATGAAGACGCCAGTCGGGGTGAAACTGAGACGAGATTTGGGGCAGTCGATCGCCAGTTCAAATTGTTTAATGAGCAAAACTACCGACCTTTTCGCTTCGTTCGATGACAAAGATGGAATCCATCAATCAATGAAACTTTACCTCCAATAGCTAAGTTGGATGAAGAAATAAAAGATCGATCGTAGTTACTAAATGCTTCTTGGCTCGAATAGACTTTGGCCTGCAATGGGATATGAGAAAATGTCAAAGAGCTAAATGTAGTAACGCATTTTTTTTATTTGTCTTGAACCATTTCCCAGGAAAGGCATCGACGCTAGCGGAAATATAGGAGACAAAGCGAGATGGAGTTTTTGGAAGATTAAAAGGCAGAGAATTTGCAGGACAATATGTCGGACGAAATAAAGAAACGTCGACAGCAATCGTTATAAAGGGGGTCCTTCGGAATTGTAATTTATTACCAGAGTTAATCGAGACCCTTGCATGTCACCGACTGAAATTATGAGGGTCACAATGCTTAACATTTTAAATACCCAGACAGACAAAATTAGTAGTCAAAAGCATGCAATACAATTTGAATAAGATCTATCCATCTTTATGGAAATATTCAGTTGGAATAGTTTCACGATACCAATTTGCATCCAGGAAATCGAAATGTATCCAGAGTACCAGGTGCTGTAAACTTGGATGTGCGGGTGGTGTAATGGCTCGGTATTGTTAATCGGAGAGCCGAGTTCTAATTCCCATCGGTTTCGTTATATTCTTTCACTTACACGCAAATGCATTTGGGAAAGGTATGAAACAACCTATTTTCCCCTCGGCTATGGATTAATTAGTAAAACTTGTATCACTAAACAATGATTATCTTGAGAAGAAAAAAACAGTTTTTACAATCTAAAAAAATATTTTCAGGCTTTAAATAACCTGCAAATTCGAGCCTATAGCATCTGGTATTCTTGCAATCCAAAAGAAAATTTCAAATAACCAGCAAAAGTTTGATAAGCCATAATAAACGAGGCATTCAATCAAAACATCTATATACACTTTTAATGTTCATACTTACCATAACCATTAATATCCATACAAGATTAAAGTTATTTTTAATGAGATATTTATTAATCTTTAGGAATTAAAAAATCCATGAAAATTGCTACATCCGGCAGCAAGGCTTCTACTCGGGAGATTGGAGGTTTTGATGGCCGTGAAACTACATCTTAGTTGCTGTTGTTTCTAGGTCCACCCTGAACCGGGGTGGTAGCACCTGCTAGGGCCCCAGTCCCGGATAAATAGTTAACCCCTTAACAGGGGTCAAAACTTTATGAAACTAAAAAAAAAAATATTTCAATACATTTTCATAGTTAAAAAAATTACAAGCAATATATTTTGAAAAAAAAAAAAACAGTAATATATATTTTGTAAGAAAGTACGTGCCCAAGAAAATTAAATTTCGGTATTAAATGACCCATAAGATGTTGATATGCCGCTAAAACAGACAAACAAATTTTCCATAAAAAGTGTGAAATTGAAAATAGTTACATTATTTTCACACGGACTCTTGTTTCTGTATTTGGTCTTATTTGTGAATATGGCAATGAAGATGAGTGTAACTGTCCGAATAATGTGAATAATGTAAATAATGTAAATAATCATAATAACTCATCTCAGAGATATAGACAGATCCTGAAGAAAGCCGGGGCGTACGATGGCCGAAACGTTGTGAATATGGCAATGAAGATGAGGATAACAGTCTGAATAAAGTAAATAATGTAAGTAATCATAATACCTCATCTCAGAGATATAGACAGATCCTGAACAAGGCCGGGGCTTACGACGGCCGAAACGTTGTGAATATGGCAATGGAGATGAGGGTAACAGTCCGAATAATGTAAATAATGTAAATAATCATAATACCTCATCTCAGAGATATAGACAGATACTGAACAAGGCCAGGGCTTACGACGGCCGAAACGTTGTGAATATGGCAATGAAGATGAGGGTAACAGTCCGAATAATGTAAATAATGTAAATAATCATAATACCTCATCTCAGAGATATAGACAGATCCTGAAGAAAGCCGGGGCGTACGATGGCCGAAACGTTGTGAATATGGCAATGAAGATGAGGATAACAGTCTGAATAAAGTAAATAATGTAAGTAATCATAATACCTCATCTCAGAGATATAGACAGATCCTGAACAAGGCCGGGGCTTACGACGGCCGAAACGTTGTGAATATGGCAATGGAGATGAGGGTAACAGTCCGAATAATGTAAATAATCATAATACCTCATCTCAGAGATATAGACAGATCCTGAAGAAGGGCGGAGCGTACAACGGCCGAAACTTTGTGAATATGACAATGAAGATGAGGATAACACTCCGAATCAATTAAATAATGCAAAGAATCATAATACCTCATTTCAGAGATATAGACAGATCCTGAAGAAGGGCAGAGCGTACAATGGCCGAAACTTTGTGAATATGACAATGAAGATGAGGATAACAGTCCGAATAATTGAAATAATGCAAGTAATCATTATACTTCATCTCAGAGATATAGACAGAAAAAAAAAAATCACGTAAAACATCCGTTCGTCTTTTTCGAAGTTTTACGCAAAACCCGACATAGGCCGCATTTTTTAAAATGCTAATATCCTAATTTTCTAAACGTTTCTTTGTCATCAGAGAATTACCAAAATTTGTTGGAAAAGAGAGCAAAATCGCCTCCCCAGTCTGTATAATGTAAATAATGTAAGTAATCATAATACCTCATCTTACAGACATAGACAAACGTCCTTCTGCTTTGCTGCGTCTTTACAAGAATTAAATTAAATCCAAAAATGGAATATATCTACTTTAGAGCTGTCCAATGTTTACTTTCCAGAGTTCTTGTAGAAGACGTATTCTTCACCTCTATTCTACAGACAAAGCCTTGCAAGTCTATCCCTAATTTATTGCTATTTCCACGAGAAATGTTCAAATGAGCCCCATTCTTTTGTTCACTCTAGTTTCTTGTTTAATCGTTTCACCCCAAGCAAGGAGATAGTGCCCCCAAGATGTAAGGGGTTACTAGGAGAGGAAGAGAATGATAAGAATTTAATGAGAAGAAACGACAATAAAAGAACAGAATTTCTGACAATAGAAAATAGTGATTGACGTTCTTTTAAATTTTTGAAGATTGTAGTTTCCAGGGAAGCAAGAAATCGGAAGGAACCTCCACAGGTGACGAACGCGAGAAAAGAAACTATTATAACATAACGGTTATAGCTAGCTATTTAAACGCTAAAACGGTGAGACCTGGTTATCCATCTAGTAATATGCTTAAATTCACGCGGTCGAGTTACCAAGGGGGACGGCTCGTTCGAACAACTGCCATGAAAATATTTACAGACAAGATAGGTGCATGCCACATCATGACGGTAGGAAAGTGACAGAAGCCGAGATGCCAGGTTAAGATCGATATAATTACAGACAGCTGTAGCGGGATATATAGCAGGAGCATCTGACCAGATATAACTGGGATATTCAATGTACGGACGAAATGTAGATTTATAAATGTGCAAGTTGGATTGCCCGGGTTTCATTCAAAAATCGTACGACTTATACAGCAATCGCTATCACTTGATTTAAAATATTTTTGCCCTTCCTTGCCTTTAAAGGAGTGCCCTTTGCCGTGCTGATGTTGCTACATGCCTTTCTTGTTGCCTATCTCACACTGCGAAGTTTTTCTAAGCTCTATACTAAACATTAAATCTGTTATGAAAAAAGAACTAAACAAAATGAACACAAAACGATCAGCTTTAAAAAAAAGACTCGTAACTGGAAAAACCGAATGAAAAAAGAATGTTAACAACAAATACTTTTTCACACCCAACCCAGTTCTGCGGAATCAGAATCAATGTTGAGTTTAAGCAAGCGAATGAGCCAATTGGAGTAAAGTGCCATGCAGATTTAAATTTTTCCCACTTGTGACAAATTCAGCTATCGATTTTTTTTTGCATGCTAGCATGCTAGTTAACATTCATGTCAGTCACCTGTTGGCTCTCACGCTGGCCAATAGAATCTTTTTGCGTATTCGTGGCAGCCAGCTATAGGCTCTCACTCTGGCCAGTAGAAAATGGCCACAAACTACGTGAAAACTGCCGTAGAAGCATGAAAAAATCGATTATTTCCACTATCTATGGGAGTTGGGAAATGCAAAGTCAGTCTTGGGCTTCCCGCTAACTTGGAGCATGTGCATGCAAATTTTGGTGCATATCCGTTGAAAATTGCGGCCGTGCATTCGTTACACACACACACACACACACACACACACACACACACACACACGCACGCACGCACACACACACACGCACGCCACACACACGCACGCACATCCTGCCTTTTATAGATAGAGATAGGTAAAGATGCTGGAAAAATAGTCGGCCAAATATAATAGCTGAGTCCTTTATGCTTTTTCTTTACAAGAAACAGGAGTCGATAGGTTTGCCTATCGTCCGGTTCACACTCCTCCCCGATCTTTCGAACATAAATAGAGTTTTATCTCTTATTCTATCACATTCACTCTGTCCTGTGAGTGCCAAAATCTCACAGCCTTCTTTCCTCATTATGTGACTTTGAAAACTTTAACTGTCCCCTTTGATGTTAATTATAAATATCCTTTTTGTTTCCATTTTATCTAACTTCGTCTTCAGTTCATGGCATTCTCAGCATCCTACTGTATAAACATATTTCCGTTGCTTCAAGACTCTTCTTTATTTGCGAGTAGATTGTGCAGCAATTCACTGACATATTAGAGGACTGAAGTTCGCCGATGATAAATCCTGGTAGGATGTCTAGGTTAATTAAATGTGGGGAGAAAACGCATACTTGCCTTGCGCCATATTATGTCTAGTTGCTCAGTAAATTTTCAAGCCGTATACAGTTCGTTCCTATAAGAGACCCTTTATACTTGCAAATATTACAATAGATGGGAAGAGAAGAGCAACTCTGAAAATATGCGATGCCGAATATGATATATTTTGGGGAGAACACTGATAAATATTTGCCAGGGGTAAAAAAAGGTAATTTCCTGATGGCTGTAAATTATTAGCGTTCTAGATTTTCTCTTTTAACAGCGACAAAATGGATGTTATTGCAAGGAGGAATGCAAAATGAACTGACTATGAAAGCGGAAGGTCGATTTTCCCTGGGAGTCATTTCTTAAACAAACCCCCTAACAAAGTCGTTAATAATAATAATAATAATAATAATAATAATAATAATAATAATAATAATAAATAATAATAATAATAATAATTTGATGACACCTTCGAAAAAATGTTACTGGGACAAAGAAAATCTATGTATGTATGTATGTATGTATGTATGTATGTATGTATCTATCTATCTATCTATCTATCTATCTATCTATCTATCTATCCAAATTAGTTCGTATCTATCTGATGAAAATAATAATAATAATAATAATAATAATATATATATATATATATATATATATATATATATAAACATAGAGAGCCAGACAAACCTACCAAGGTTTCACCTAAGCGGATCGTCAGGGATCGTCCTAGCAGTATAGTTTCTTGTACTTATAAGATTTATAATAATAATAATATATATATATATATATATATATATATATATATATATATATATATATATATATATATATATATATATATTAGAGAGAGAGATACAAAACAGAAAGATATGAGCGGATTTAGATAGATAGATAGATAGATGATAGAAAATGAATAGACTTAGATAATGAACATAGATAGATAGATAGATAGATAGATGAATAATGAATAGACTTAGATAATTAACATTCATAGATAGATAGATAGATAGATAGATAGATAGATAATGAATAGACTTAGATAATGAACATTCATAGATAGATAGATAGATAGATAGATAGATAGATAGATAGATTCGAAGAGTTCGTTCTCTTTCATGTATCGGAAGTAGTGTTCATCTACCCCCAATATCCTCACCCCTTTTCAATGAAGACTAGTCTTTCTTACTTTTTGTTTAGGTTCATCTCACTTGCCCTAAGCAGTCTTACTTTCCACTTTTCGTCGCCCATCTCAATTCATTTACAACCGTCCCCACCCACCCAAAAAAAGAAAACAAATAAAATAAATAAATAAATAGTCCTGTATTGTTTTCGCTTATGTGTAATTCACAAGTTGACTCATATAACCAAGCTGGTGGAAAACGTTTTTCAACGCTTGATTCGAATATTTTGAAAAGCTTGAATGATTATTCGTAACTAATTAATTTTAATATTGCTGTTTGCATTTGGATATAAGGTAAGCAAGAAACCTTCTTTGTGGCCGGAACGAAAAAGTTTCTAATGTTTAGAAAGAAAAAAGGCTCGGGGTTCTTGATAGGCTCCAGAAGCGGATATGCAATATGGTTGGCCCTGCCCTGGCGTCTCGTCTACAGTCACTTTCTCACAGACGCACCGTCGCCTCCCTCTGTCTGTTCTACAAATACTTTCATGGAAATTGCTCCGAGGAGCTGCATTCGCTGGTTCCCAGACTTCATGAGTTCAAGCGCCCTACGAGGCTGGAATCCCTCTCTCACCCCTTCACTGTCGAAACTCCTAAAATGTAGCCGTCTCTTCTACTCTAATAGCTTCATGTCTCGCACCTCTCGCCTGTGGAACTCTTTCCCTTCTCCTGTTTCCCTGAGAGTTATAATCTCCAGCTATTCAAGTGTAATGTCAATCGACATCTCCAGTTGCCTTAATCTATCTACTACCCTCATCCTTTCTTCTATCACTCCTATCTGATCTTCCTATTTTCTGTAACCCCTTGCGTCCTAGTGGCTTCCCGCCTTGCTTGGGGTGAAATGCTTAAAAAAAACCAAAAAAAAAAAAACCAAAAAAAAACACTAAATAGTTCTTCAGAAACGTAGTAATTTCGAAGAGAAATGAGTGTCCTTCATTTTGATATCAGATCCATTATTCTGTGTCATCAGAGAAGTGGATTTCCTTTATTTTGGTATGATATCCTTATTCTGTACGACTTATAACTTGTTTTATAGGATTGAAGACATTATTTATCAGTCATTCCCCGTAATTTTGAACAGAAATGAATTTCCTTCATTTTGATATCAGATTCTGTATAATTTAAAACTTGTTTTATAGGATTGAAGACATTATTTATCAGCTATCCATCGTAATTTTGAAGTGAAATAAATGTACTTCGTGTTGGTAACTTGTCTATTGTAATTCTGTATGTCAACCCATTAGTTACTTTGCACGAGAGTTACAATTCATAACTAATGGACGATATTTCGTTTTGACAGTGAGAAAATACTAAACTTAGAGAAATTGGGGACGCTACTTGGTTTCAGTAAAAATAAAATAAATAAAGAAGGGAAGATAAATGTAATTAACATCTGTTTCAGAAAAATGGAAAAAAGTCATCACTTTCAAACTTTTTTCATTTCCGCAGCCTGTACATAAATTTATTAATAAAAATATTTGCAAGACAGGTCTTCGGCAAGATTTTTATAGTTCTATATTGTCTTATACACGTTTTTATAGGAGAATACCTTACATACCGATCACCCCTCTTAAGTTTGAAGAGAAATGTATTTACTTCATTACGATTCTATTTTTATATTTATATCTTGTTTTCTAGGTTTGAAAATTTATCCATCAACCTTTGTAATTTTAAGAGGTATTTTATTAATTTCCTTAGCTTCACTGTTTTACCTGGTCTAAAATATGATTTATTTGATTGGAAGCCTTACTCATGTATAATATTCCTGGATATGACGATAAACTACATCCGGCAGCAAGGCTTCTGATTAGGAGATTGGAGGTTTTGAGGAGCGTGGAACCATCTGCTGTTTTTCCCAGGTTCATCCTGATCTTGGGTGGTAGCTCCTGTTAGGATCCCAGCTATGGGTAAATAGTGAACACCAAACACTATGAAATTAGAAAAATACATTTTTATAGTAAAAAAAAATACCAGCAATACATTCTTCTATAAAAATATATCAACGTTACTTATTTATAGTAAAATTACTGTTGTAGAGTAACTAGCACCCCTTCAAGACTCTACCAGATGGCCGGGCTCATATTCTTAAATAGTCTACGATAAAGGACTTCAACAGTTGATTAATAAGTTGATATTAAACTGATTAATATTCGGACTGATCTTACTTCATTTCGCTATACAGCATTTGACCCTCTTCTATTCCTTGTAAGTTGTCTTGTTAATTGTTTTGTAACTTATTGTTCTGTGTGTGTGTTTTTTTGTATGTACCGGTTAGCACCAGATACTGGTGCTGAATAAATATATTAAGCACTCATTCTTCTCTGTGTTTTACTCATTTCGACGATACAACAGAAGTAAAATGTAGATTTGGTAAAAAATTTAAAACCATCTAACAAAAATTAAAGATTTCTCGATTATTGCAGGATATTGCATTATCCAATTTAATTAATGTAAGCAAACTACAATATTTCATAATCCAAGTGGTGTGCGAAGGTTTGGTGATGACCGGGGCCAACCTCTTGATTGTATGCCCCTAAGAATCATGTAAGGTAGGCCTATGGGGCCTAATACTGAGAAATGTGAGAAAAGAAAACATTTTAAATATGTAAAAATCAGATAAAACATGAAATAAACATTTTATTCAAATTGAATATAAGTCGGCTTCATTTATTAGGTTATACATTATGCGGAGTATTTAGATGTAAAAGATTTTCTACTCCGGTCTCGCTTATCAAAACACGGATCAACATTCAGATTATCTTATGGGACTGTAGCACTGGATATTGGCGCTGAATAAATATATTAAGCACTCATTTTTTCTCTGTGTATCATTCACCTTGACGATAGAAAAATTACCAACACTAAATGTTATAGAAAAATTTCTAACAATACATTTTATCTGTAGTTGAAGTCTTAAAACTTTGTTCAAAATATTGAGATTCCGGAATTAAATAACCCATGGAGGTGTTGATATGTCGCAAAACAAAATCAAACTTACCGTATTTTCCGGCTTACAAGACGCACCTTTTTTCCTAAAAAATACCCTGAAAAATACGTGCGCGTCTTCCAAGAGGACTGTAAGGCAACGCCCAGGCTCAAGCAAGCTTGGACGGTCATCTATTTGGTCTGACTGATAGGGACGTGGATTTGTATGTTGAGTCATTACACTGTAATGTTAGCTATCTATCTAATCCCGTCTTTTATATGATGTAACCTTAGTACTTAGCTGTTACAAGTATTTCCAAGACTATAAACCTTCCTTCCTATGTTTGCTAACAGGACACTGCACCATGCCACACAAGCAGGAGAACAAAGTCATAGCTGTCAGACAATTTCTGCGACCACATCAGCCCTTATATCTGGTCACCAAACCCCCACCCCAAACCTGCAATACCCCTACAATGTACCTTTTTAGATAGATGAAGCTTGTAGGAAGTCAATCTCAAAGGAAATCGCTGATTTTAAACCTCCGCTATTATGCGGCCTTATCCAAACGCCAAAGGGCTTATGGAAACAAAACCCGCCGTGGAGATCCATCGTTGAAAAACTTATGGCAATCTTGCAGGCAAGCCGGCCCCAAATGTTATACCTTGTATACTTTTGAATCTTGTCGGTGCAGCCAAAAGATGATGGGTGGAGTAATGTCATCTGGAAAGTGCACAGCCGCCATATATTATCTCCCTGTTCAGTCTCACCACCAAAAGACTGAATTCTTACCACACTGGGTGCTACCATTTTCTTGCCAAATAAACAGATGTCTACTTACATTTTTCCTTGTGTCAAGCAAAGCTAATTTAATAATATCCCCTAAAGAACGGATGTATAATAATGTCAGTAAAATCATTTTCGGTCAGTTTTAAGAGTCCTGTGGTTGTTTGTCTACAGGAGAGAAATAGCGAATTCCATTATAAAAACAACGTCATTTTGCCTGAACGACACACCCATAGGCTCATTGGCATTTCCCGGTCCCCAGCTTCTAAGCTACTCCAAGAATGCCGCCGGCAATCTATTTGTCTTAATAGCTAAAATCAAGGCCCTCAAATTCAGCTGATGCCGAGAGGGCAATGTCTGTCAATTTCAGGGAAGTTTCTTTAATCAATATGGGGGTTGATTTTCAAATTTAGCCTCTAGAATATCGAAGCAAAATTTGACTTTTAACTGAAATTTATCGATATACGACGCTTGATTCATAAATGAACTCTCTAATCCAGTAAGACGAAGTTTACACGAGATAAATAATAATAAAATTAGCATTAAAATCAATTGCTCCTCATCTGACGTCTCGACTTCAGCCACTTTCCCATCACCGTTAAGTTACCTCCCTGTTCTGTTACTATAAATACTTCCATGGCAGTTGACGATCTTCACTATCGTACATTGGGGGTTAGATTTTAATTGTTGTTTTTATTCTCCCCCTCCACAGACAAGAATTAGAACTGCATGGAGATTCCGAGTTATTATGGACGATATAGTAAGAATGGTAAGTAAGAATGCGATGTTATGGAATATTGTGATTATTTTTGCGTCAGTGATTGTGGCTAGCTAAGTTTAATTTTAAGACAGAACAATACTGTCCTTTTCCCCCTTTTTTTTGGTCTTGTGCCACATTTCTGTATTTTGAATAGAATAAATAATGCTCTTTGTCATCGTTCGTAGACATCATGAATTTTAGCGCAGTACTAGACTGTAGACGAGGCACGGTGGAATAATGGATAGTGGCTCGGATTGAAGAATCGAAGATTCGAATTCCAGTCGAATCCATTACATTCACTTACGTGCTAATACTCTTGCAAAGGTATGAATCTTCTTCTCCCCCTAGCTATGGGTAAATAGTAGGACAGAGCGAGTTCTATACCTTTGAATGGCAACTGGTCTAACGCAAAAAGAAATGGCAACCTATCGAAAGATACATGATCGCCTAAGGCTGTATGACGCATGACGCTAAACTCTAGACGTTGTCTCACTAATATACAGTTGAATTGGTTCGATGTAACTGTAAGTTCTATATTGATAGCTTTTTTTTTCTGGCACTTCTTGATTGTGTAACTCTCTACCAGCTCCTTGCTTTCCA